TAGATTTAATATATATATATTCTGCCAGGTGTGTGAAGACAATGTAAGAAATCCCTTAATTTTCTGTACACAGCGTTAATAATTACTTCATTTAGTAAGACTCTTTTACATACATTGTGCATCGCATTAAGATTCCTCAGCTGCAAAAAAAATTGGTGTAATTTATTGAGGAAATTATCATATCCCGAGTTAAGTCAAAATGAGATAACTTAAATGTATTTATTACCTTGGTGTGATTTGAAACCAATTTTAAATACGTATCGGTCAGAATAGGCTCACACGCATCAAATAAATTAGATTATTTGATCACTTTCGTGATCAAATTATCTCTATTGTATTACAAAAATATTTTTATCATAACTAGTTTATATTAATTTAACTTAAAAGTCATGTATTACAAATTAAAATCATTAAAGATGCAGCAAATTTTACCTATAACGGTTAGTTGCTTTGTTCATTGGCTTATATCAAAGAGATAGGTTTATTGTAAAATATTATTAACTGAGTAATTTGTCAGTAATATAAAGTTGTGGTATGCATACGTTAGATCAGGTTTATGTTTGCCAGTGAACACCATATTTAGTTTGTTTTCTCTATTTTTCAGCCTCCGTAGCTTAAAACAGATAGCTGGATTTATTACCAGGCAATATTATATCGGATGTAGTAATTATTCAAAAGTCTGTAATGTGTTGTCTGATAAGAAAAAGGTCAAGCTTTAGTCTCAGAGGACCTCCTTGCGTAGGGTTATCGTCTTCTTAAAATCCTAATTCTCTAGGGCTTGATAAAATATGTTTGAGGCTTTTGTAAATGCGATCACTACATCACCAATTTAAATTCCTTCATATTGTAATATTAAAATTTTTTTTTTTTACTTTTGGGTTTTATGGTTAATGTTAACGTGTGAAATTCGTTTACTTAACACTTTCAGACGACAACTTTTAATGTATGTAAAACCCCTCTAAATTAGTAATTTGAATAACTAAAGCTCAAGATAGAGCTGTTTTGGCCTTATCTCAATAGGGCATCTCGGACATTTTAGCCAGAAATTTCGGTCCTACGTATTGAAACACTTGCGTGATAGATAGGATCAACTAAGTGGATACTTTATAGTGCTTGTAATGTATATAATAAAGCTGAATTGCGAAATAGTTTACCATATTTAAAAATTTTACTTTCATATTTTGATTTATGATTGTTTACACCTTTACGATCCTACACGTTTTGGTTCGTTGTTGTTTTGATTAACTTTTCCCATTGTTTCTTTGGTTTATTAGATCCTAATGAAACTATACAGCTAAATATCATTAACCTTTGAATTGGTTTTAAATACATTTACAATTGCTGACGTAAAAATTACTCATTTAATATATTGTAATTGGTCTGTAGGCTCCTTAAAAAGCTTAAAGTAAAATATTTATAATTGAAGTTTTGTTCTGAAAGCCATTTCAGTTCGTTAATGTAATTGATTACATTCATTGACTGTATTTTCCCCAATATTAGTGTTGAAAGTGTGTGACAGTTGTAATGTTAGGGAATGTAGGGCGTATATTGTGAGGGTTGACCACAACTTAAGCGTCTAGAGGGAGGGTATACTAGGGTTTACTACCCTCTATTACAGGGCACTCATACTTACACTACACTTCATAGGCCATGCAAGGTGAAATCAGGTATGCAGGAAAAGTTAGTAACAGAAATCTTTCTCTACTTTTACCAACGACAGTTTTTTTAAAGTAGCCGTTTCAGTTCAGTTCAGTTCTTAGGATTTAAAAGTTTCTCATAACAGCATATTTTTACTAAACACGGGTAACGGACCAATGAGGTTGAAGGATTAAAAGAGAATGAGTAAAATTGTAATTATTCCAACTTAAACTAATCAGCTGTTCAGGCCAATTTAATTGTTGAGTGTTGCAATTTGTGTTTGGTATAATGTTTCGTTGCATCGCTGTCACTGTCAGTGACAATGAGAGGTTATAAACGAAAACGTAACCTCTCTTATAAGTTATGAGTAGTGATTTTTAGTAATTAAAACAATGTCGTAGGTAAAGTAGTTTACGAAATTCGTGTAAATAGTGTTAACGACACTGGTAGAAGTTTTTAAGGCCCTCGCCAAGGCTCGTACCTTAAATTTTCTACTCGTGTCGTTAGCGCTATCTTTACACAATAGTTGCATAAGCTACTAAATCAACAAGGGTCACTTTCATATCAATATGTGTAATTTTGTTTAGTTTTCCCATTGTTTTTTTATTAAGACACGGTTATTTTGAGGGGAAAACACTACACGCTTTTAGGTGAATCGGTCCACCCTTTAAAATGTTTGTGCTTTGTTGAGGTTAGGGGTCAGTCCTAATTGACCTAAACGTGTGTAAATCGTTTAAATCGTGTGTAAATCGCAAGGCAAGAGCCGATTCATAAAATAAATAATAAAAATTACTGTACAAAGTGCATCCATAGGTGACCATCATGCTCCAAAGGATGAGACAATAACCATGGGAAATGTACACAAATTTTCATTACCTTTTTATCATTATTTACCTTCCCTCTGTTGACAAAACTTGATTCAAATCATGTGTTTTACTCAAACTTGTTCTGTGACAGACAGTATGGTTACCATTATAGCCAAGACCACCACTAACAGTAACCAAGGCGTATGAAAGAAGGTGTGTGCATAGTGACGTCAGTGCGAGTAAAACTTGTTTTATTTTACCAAATCATATGTTTTCTTGTAGGCTAACTTTTCAAAGACTTTCGAATGACAATCATTACGAATTAGCATTGAATATATAACACTATTTAGCGTTTTATATCCAATATAGTGTTGTATTCAATATTGAATATAGTCATAGTGTTATACAGTATATTCAATGGTGGTAGTATTAGTATATAGCATTTTGATAGTGAGTACCTTTTAATCTAAAAACAGTAAAGCAGTAAATATTGTAACTGTGGCTGCCTTAACAGGCAACATATTTTTAGGTGACAATATACAAATAGTTTTAAGTATAATACCTTTTTCAGCTCCTACTTATGTTTTATATAATTGAAAATCTCTCATTTAAGTAGCCTTAGTGGAAAATAAATAGTTAGGCCTACAAATAAATCGGCAAGATTGTATTTACATATATTTAACAAAAACAGCACAAAATGGCATATAGCTTAAGTTGTAGGGATTTTATAACATTTTAATGACATACACTAAACATACAGTTCGGCCAAAACTTCTGTGCGCGCGGACAGGTCGCTAGCCCAACTAAAACTTACGGATACCGGTTATTTGCAGTGACATAGTGATATAGTGAGTGGGGTAGGGGTGAGTGAGTAGTTATACCTTCCGCAAAGATTCGTTCGTTCTTCGTGACGTTCCAATCCAGAGAGCTGAAACCCTACTGGACTGAGGCTGTTTTAGGACTTAGTCCTCTTCAGCCAACACAAGATTCGTGGCGGCTGAAGGATTAGGACGGTCGGGTGGTGTCCCAGCCCCAAAATTAGCCCTCGCTCGGCTGCTCGGGGCTTTGGCAATGAGTCACCCACTGGGCTCAATGCATAGTTGGTAAAATGTTTGTATATCACCATAATGTGTATTAAATAACGTCATTTTTGTAACCTGCATCAAATAACAAGAACATTGAGCCCTAACACGAAATAATTGCTATGATATTAAGCATACCACGACACGAAAACTGTCTATTATTTTAAAACTAAATGTATACTTAATATCGTCGCAATTATTTCGTGTTATATATATAGCTAAATAGTGTTATACACGAATACTAGAAAAAAAAACATTTGTCTAGTATTCGTGGTGTTATATATTCAATGCTAATTCGTAATGATTGTCATTCGAAAGTCTTTGGAAAATTACAAGAAAACATATGATTTGGTAAAATAAAACATGTTTTACTCGCACTGACGTCACTATGCACACACCTTCTTTCATACGCCTTGAACAGTAACGGCCATGGTAACTTATTTATTTATTCCGCCTAAGAACACATAAGAACCAAGAGCTAGGGTTTGTATATTTAACGAGCAAGACTCGCTAAGCCGCCATAATTAAGCTGGAGGTTTGTTATACTTTCATTGCATTAGCGAGGTGGGACTTGAACTTGTGATTTATTTTACATTTTTACCTCAGCTTTCCTTAAAAGTGTGAAGCAAATTGGTGCTGAGATTTTACGTTTATTGTCCTTATCCCGAACAAATGTCTTCCTATTTTGCGTAGAACAGTTATAAATTATTTCCCAGTTATTAGGTATGAGTAACCCTCGTTAATTTGGACATCATTGATGCGGGCTTTTGTCGTATGGTTTTAGTTGTGGAAACTGAATCATACTGTCTCCCATCAGTTTGTGAACATCAATATTATAAGGTTTATTTTAGGTAAGAATGGGAGTAATTACGACAATTTATGGGTAATATCATTAAAATCGCAATAACTTTTGAACTGTAATTTTTACAAAATTTGGGGTTGTACCATTTTGTTTAGAGTTGAAAGGATCTATCATCCTAAATATTATTTAAAATCATTCTAGGCGTTTTTGTGAAAATACGTTTTCCGTTGTTTGTGTGTTTTATGGAAAAACCACCATAAAATTAAAAAATAGTAAAAATTAAAAACCACTGGAGATACCATAGAAAAGTGCCCCCATAACATTATCTATCACAATTGGACCAGAGATGTACACATAAATCACTTCGTAAACCTATTTTGGGTTCAGGAGGATCCAAAATGAATATTTAAAATGTTGACGAAAACATAATATTCCACATAAAATCATATACTTTCTCAATATTATATGCATTGGGATAGAAAGTAAAAATAATTGGCGGGATTTAAACCTGGCCCGCCAGTATAGAAGTCAAGCTCCCTAGCCTCTAACCATAAAACCAGCCAAGGCTTATTTGGTGAACTAAGTTTATGGGATTTTTAGTGAATATGCTGGTTCGAATTAACTATTCACAGTTTATGTATTTTTTCCTAAACACGCCTTATTCTGTTGCAGGAGATCGCTGCTATACTTATCAGCTTCGAGAGGCATGCAGATTGGCAGTCCAAGGAGGTCAAAATCAGGTGAGTTCATTTCAGTTTTGAAATTTATTTAAAATAAATTACGAGACGTCACCCAGAAATAAACGCACTGTTTTATCAGAATTGGGAAACATGAGTAAACAAAGCTATCATATACCCGTGTTAATTTCGTGATATGTGTTCTGTGTGTGAATTGTTTGACGACATGGCAAGATGGATTATTTTAAGCCTCCGAAGAATATCATTATGGCATAGAAGTTGAAACACGGTTCATCCTATACATGTCAGAACCGTGAGGGAATATTTGATACGTACTAAACACTTATTGTGAAATAATGAATAACCAAAAATCACAGTTACAGCAAGCAATAGCACACAGTAAATAAATATGATATCTCAAACTTTACACGATTTTCAAAGTTGTTTAAAAGTAAAGTCTAATAAAGCTTGATGAAGGACTCAAGTCAATGATCAGGCTGGAGTCAGAGACGTCCACATGACACTCAGAGGACGTAACTCCCGCAGACATTGACTAGGCAAGACAAGCTGTCGCTTCCAATGAGGGAATCACTACAAGATAAAGACTTCGGACTGAGCATCGCTCGCTACAAAGTGTGGGCTTGTAACATTTGCCAAACCAGCTTCGCCATGATGTTTACTTGTTTTGTTTACCAGAAAGTTTTGCTCGAATTCGAGCTTTGTGAATTAAATGTAAGCCCTCACAGTTCTGGACCCCTTTAATAACTTCTTCAACAAATAAGAAGTGCATTTGATAGGTTTTTGAAAATTCCATACGGTAGAATTAAGAATAGAGCACTGAAAATTACAACATGCATAATTTTTGGTTTTTTTCTATTTACGAAATTTGGAATCCAGTTTTTGTGTGTTTGAAGAAGTTGATTCTGATACATATCATGCAACTTAGAATACTGCTGATTTTCTTATTACATTTAATCTGTAACTTCATTATTTTAAACGTGTATTTCCCAGTTTTTCCGCATAATTGGGTTGAATCGATCTGTCCTTAAATCAGTTGAAACATTATAAGTTGACATTATAAGTCATGCTTATGTCCGATTTCTGTAGAACTTGTTTTCATATTTTTATTCGTTTCTGTCATCCTCTGGAATCATTATCGCACGCTGTAAAATCTAACCTTAAACTAGTGAAAAACTAGTCAACATCAGAACAATGATTCGCCACAATACACATAAAATGAATGATCACAATACAAAATTTTTATCACAAGAGGATGAGAATTTCCTGTAAATGATCTACCCTGAAAACTATATCATTTGACGTTTTTATAAACCGTTCTTCATCGTCATTCTTCGTCGTGTCGAATCATGACCAAAGGCTAATGCTTTAAAATTTACATTAGGCCTAACTAAATAAAAACGTTTAGTCAACAACAGAGCGCTCAAACGTAACCGCACATAGAACACGCATCAATGCAGGCTTTTCAGACTGAAACATTGGATAAGCAGTATATCTACAACGTTAAGTCAATGGTATTAATAAGCAGCGGCTATCACAGTTTCCAAAGATCCCAGAAAGTGAAGTTGTCGCGATGATTTAGTCGTCGACACTGTTAGTCTAACTTGACTTCCAGCCAGTTTTGTATCGTCTCAATTTATTACGTAACTTAAGCCCTCTTTTGCCAGCCAGTGTTCGTTCTTCTAACTTTTAACTTGTTTAAACCAATCGTACGATTCAAGACGATATTTTTCTTTGACGTTTTAATGTGCGTTTTCTACAGTTGTAAACAGTTTTTAAATTTCAAAACAAATATTTAAACGAAGAAATTTCTATAAATAAATAGAAATATTTTGCAGTTTGGAGTAAAACTTTTCAAGATAACTAAATGCATTTTGTGATGATTATTTTTCTAAATTACACTATGCTGTGTTTTTTATTTGTTCTTACTACCTTATTCGTTGGACTAATTTGATGTATTATAGTATTTTGAAAACACTTCACTAAATTAATACATTTGGACCAAGTGTTTACTTCTCTTCGTCCTGTGGTTTTCGAGGTTTCCGTTTCTTTGTTATCAAAACACTAACGATATTTTTTAAATTTTATCATAAGAGTATAACATAAAATTTAATAATAATTTGACATAACCAATTGAAACCTTTTGTCAATGTTAACAGTCACTTTACTACAGTTATTCTTCAAGTCAACTCTGTTAAACGTTTATCTGTTATTCTTTGTAACCTAATTGTGCAACAGCATACTATTATAGGTTATACTACTTTAAGATATTTTAAAAATATTGTAAACAAAGATTTTCTAGTGGTCTTATCATTTGAGAATCTATTGCTAGGGATCCCCACACTTCCTTTAAAACGACAAGCTGTAATTATGGCAAATCTAAATTTTAAATGTACTATACTAAAATAAAATTCTAAGTTTAATTTGGCTGTAAAATAACTTATTTTAATAATTCAAAATATATACGTAAGAGTTTCTGTTTGTTGTTAACTGACAACGGCGTGTTTATCAATAACTACGAAACTATTATTTTTCTCTGTCGTTAAAACTCGTCGATAGTTAGGTTTGACTAGGATTTCTTCAAATAAGCTACGTAATCTATGGTATTTTTATTTTCACCAACTGACATCGGAATACAACTATTTTAAGTATCCAAACTAAAAATAATGATTACAGAAATTCAGATATATTTTGCAAAATACCCTCACCGGTTTTTTATTATCTAATTTATTTTGGCATGTCCCACAATTAAGATTTACTTCCCATCTAAGCCTGGTAGTATTTTTACCACTACAAACAAACCAAACTTTGAGAGAAGGAAACGGTTACGTAATCCCACAGGTGTTTTCGTTAAGTGGCAAACTTTGGCTGTTAAGAAATAAAACAAGACCATAAACAAAACTGGGTTTAGCGGAAAACAAGCCTACATTAAGTTTACTGCTGGAGAAAGAGGGGGAGCGACAGAGAGAGATACTGTGTGAGGTTGATGCATTAAACTCTCAGAACTAAATGTTCTTAGTGTATTTGTAGTGTAAATATTCTAAACATGTGTGTAGAGACACCAACCGAACATAATTAAACATCTACAACTAATTTTGATCATTATTTTTATATAAATTCCAAATGTTTACAATTTTGCCGATAAAATTATTTGTAAAACTTAGGACTTTAGATACAAGTCATTATTTTGATGAATATTAAACTCTTTATTTTAACGATTTCTTTTTACGTGAATCAAATTTATATAATTACCTCTTGCCAATGATTATGTAAAATTTTCCATTTTCCGTAGTTTTTAGACGGTATAACCTACTAATATTTCATTCTCCAACACTGAACGATGAAATTCGTATGTTCACAAATTCCCCAGCATATGCAAATGTACGACTTGTAAAAGGGTGTTTTTGTGTTTTTTCCTCCCTATACACCAGGGTGCCATACATAATTAACTCACTTGTACCTTTGTGTTTTGATGTTTTTCTAACTTTTATATTTGCATAATTTGTGCTTTTAATTTTAATTTATGATTTTTCCTGTAATGCAACTCCCTTGATAGTGTAATATGAATGAGTTGGACATGAACGAATTGGTAAAAATAGTAACTGTTTGTTTAAATAATACGTTTGTTATGATAAATAACAATGAAAAATGTACTTAAGGGTGTGTTGTTGGTATAATCGTTGGAATCTCGATCTTCAGTACGATGATGGCGGGTTTGATTCCCAGATTATTCAAAGACACTTTAGAAGTTTGAACCAATTTTGCCTTTTTGTGGTTGCAGTTCTTTTATGCCACTCGCGTGGACATCAACATTTAAGGACAAATGCCGGTGGAAAATGTATTACACATTTTTATATTTTGGACTGTTAAAATCCTGTCAAATGTAATTAAAATATTCTTCCTTGATATTTTTTAATGTGCTATACATATTATCACTGATTACTAAACTACTTAAATCAAATAGTGAGATAACTTTAATTAATGACGAACAACTTGAACTACTTTAAACGCAAACAATAACAAAACCAGGTCAACTTTGTACTGTCGAAAGCATTACGGGAACAACCAAAACGTGTGTGATTCGAGGGCTAAAAGTTATCAGAGATTGTGAATGCAGCCGGTTGTGAATCGGGGACACAAAAGTTGACAAATCGGTTGTTGAGAAGTTTCATTAATAAATTAAAACAGAGACAGAAGTGTTGGCCGGGAGTCAAGTTGGCGGACTTGCCGAGGAATACACGTTGAGACCGCCTCACAGTGGGGTAGGATGGTCGCTGACTTGGTGGTGGTCTACGCTTGAGGAGGTTTTAACGAATATTCCTTCTTATTTAAGCGTTTTTTGTAACGATAGTGGCATTTTAAAATGTTAGGGAACGGTAAAAAACCCTGTTTAGTTATTGTGTTTACGTCGATATTTTGTTGTGTATAGATAGCTTCATTATAAACAGTATCTATGTCTATAATCGATCTTTTTTTGGGTTCAAAAATCAGCAAAATTCAAGTTTGAGTGTGATCTACCTTGAGAACGTAATTTTAACAAATTTACCCTCAAAAGTAATTGCCAGGATCCGAGGTTTCTGAGTTGTGCCAGTTTCATGTAAATCATGGCATAAGATACCTAATGTCAGTAGGTTTTCAAAGGTTCAAAATTGGGCCAAGTTTTTTCTTGATTGATCAGCTTCATTACACATTAGTAATGTTTTGATATCATCATGTGTGTGTGTGTGTTGTCTTTCATTTTGACTTCAAATACAGTATTTTGAAAATATTTTAAAAGAATCTCAGTCTAATCCTCATGACCGGTGATTATAATTCTATCGGTCTTTTATCGCAAAATATAACTATTCACAGCTGTGATTCTGAAAATGCTGTTTTTAAATGAAATTAAATTGTAGACTAAGACTATTTTTACTTCGTTCTGCGTAATAGAGCGAAGAGTATATTTTTATTGTCGGTTAACGGGCCAAGCTGCTATCCTCAAATATCGTCTTTAGTTAGATTAGAGTATGAAAAATTGACTTTCATATTTTTTGTCACTAGCTAGA